GCACTTATTCTACTGAGCCATCTCCCCAGCACCTGAATATACAACTTTCCTTGCAGAAAACATTTATTTGTACACATTTCATGTTATATGCTCCTTTTATTATCAATTATTATGTTTCAAAAGGGAATGCATTTTATTAAGGACTTATTGGACTGATGGGATACAAGCCTTTCACAACCAGCACCAACAAAGTGTTCCTAGATTAGAGACAAGAGGAAGGAGCTTATATATTACAGTACCCAAAGGTATGCATGTGGGCTTTGTCAAGAATAATTAACACAGCAGAGGTCAGATAAACAGTACAGGTATAATCAGAGCCTGGCATCAGATGCTTAGCTGACTGCTGACTTCAGAACTTTATTGGGCAGAATTCAGAATGCAAGCCAGAATCATCTGGTGGGCAAAATGGTGACTATCATAAGATGCAAGCCTAAAAGACCCAAAGATTTATTCCCTTATGTATGCTGATATAATTGTACAAAATGCTCACATTACATTGATGGCAAATATTAAACTAGAACTTATGGCTAAAATACTATATATATTTCTTTCTTAAACTGATTTGCTAAATATTTACAATATTCTGATGACTTTTGTTTCTTTTTCCTTTGTCTCCATGATATCCTTATCCTTTGGGTTTTCTGAACGTCTCTTGGTGAGATTAGTTATTCTTTGCTCAGATTTACTCTCCAAAGTGTTTACTTTTGGTTGATTTCTACTTTTTCTGGATCTCAAATTCATAGTGTCTGAAAATTTTGTTACTTCTTTCTCTTTCTGATTCTTCATGGGGATACCCATACTTTTCTTGTTAATAATAGTATGATTACAGTGGTATTTTATCCATTCTCATTTCCTCCCATTTAACAGTATGTGACCTGTTAAATGCAACAACGTGACTTATGCATTGTTCCATTTATTGTACTGTCATTTTCAATCTTGTCACAGTCTCAAATGTACAGTAGATCTTCACCTATTGCTGGTCAGAGGACTGAAGATTTCCTGCAAGAGATGAATGGGAGTCTGGTTGAGGAGGATGTGTCAGATTAAACTTCAGAGAAGGCAAAGTGGAGAAATGGTTGGAAGGGATTCCCACTATATTTTGTAATGTTTGAAATAAGGAAAAGCCAATCAGATAGCTCAGTGGACTAAAGAGCCTGCTTAGGCACACGCAGGGACTAGGTTCAATCCCCAGAGTGCTGCACTGGCCCCACCCATGGGTTCCACTGAGATGGAGATTGAGACTAGGCATGGTGGCACACACCTGTAATTCCAGCGCTTGAGAGGCTGAAAACAGGAGAATCACTGCAACTCCAGTCAGTCTAGTGAGAGCCTGTATACCCTGTACTAAATACATAAAAAAGAAACAATGAGTTTCCACAGGAAGTATACTTCCTCACTGAAGAGTTAACTAAGATGCATATTCTGCTTCTGCATGCTTAGCTAACTGTGTGGTCCATACATGAGAAGAATGGAGTTTGGGGGAGATTATGACCTCCTGGCCTTTGCTGTACCTTCTATGACATTCTTATTTTTGAAAGCCTTGGAAGGATGTGACAAATTGATCAGGTCTGAAAGCTAGGGAAAACCAGTGGGTATTCAGTGGGTTGGTTGCCTGTGCCCAGCTTGGAGAGTCAGAGAGAAACAATATTCTCTGAATCATTGCTGATGTTGATATAATTCGGCCAATGATGTCCTTGAGTCTCAGCCATGATGTTGTAAATGATGGACCCATAAAACCCTGAGGCCTTTCCCAATAGAATTTTCTATAATCAGCATGACTTTGTCCTCTTTGTCCAGGTGGTGGTGTGGACCCATGGAGGTGGTCTTGCGGTGGTTAAAGCATCAATCTATGATGGACTGGCTCTCTCTGTCCATGAAAATGTGTTGGTGGTGGTCATTAGTTTAACCTAAGTACATGAAGTTTCTTCAGGTAAGGATGAGCAATTGAACATGGAATTCCCTTTATTTGCTTTTTGGTGATATGACAAAGTACTGAGACTCAATAATTATTTAAAAGCAATAATTTATTTTATTCATTGTAGTATCATAGAATTTCCTTGGATTGGTCTTTCACAAAAGCCCCTTTGTTCTCAGAGCTTGGTAGAAATCTGAAAATGAATCTTCAGCATGCAGGTTTTGTCACAGGACAAATCAGTAAGTTCCAGAGCAGGATCTAGGGGCAACCTGTTCTTGCATAGCAGTTCAATTTTTTGAGAATTCATGAAGATATTGTGAGGTATCTATTAGTTTATTCTATGAGCCATAGTCCAAATAAATCTAATTACCTTCCAGTAGCCCTCAACTTTTATCAATTCTTAACATTGGCAAGTCAGGGATCAAAGTTTTAGCACTGTAACTGTTGCAAGAAAAATTACTTGTAAACTAAACCATAGTAGTTCCACATCAAAGATATGTCCCAGGTATAACCAAACCATCCAGCAAAGTGCCATTTCCTATGTTTCTTACTAATACCTTCAGTCTTTGTCTGTTTTCTTTCCCATATTTGTGTTTTCCTGTCAGTAGCTAGACATTTTGCTAAATGTTGGAGGAACGAAAGGATATTAGATAGAAGGGTAGAACAGCTAATTCTCACTAGTTCTAAGGTTAGATAAGGGAGCAGGCCTCTGTGTAACAGCAAACAATGGGGCCCACAGTTTGAGATTTCAAACTGGAGAATGATGTATGTTTATGTAATTTACTGCTCCTTTCTTTAAATTTCCCTTCTAGCAGGTCACCTCTGCCAAAGGAATTGCTAAACTAGCTGCTGGAAAATTCCCTGTAGCCAACCAAACCTCAACTCTTGTAACAAGACCAATGAGCAATCAAGCAGTGATGCTCAGAGGGGTGGAGGTAGTACTCTAGACTAAAATGGGACTGGAGCCCCTGATCCCTTGGTGTTGCAGTTCTGGGCTCTTCTACTCCTGGATCTTTACCACTTCTTGCACTACTACAATAAAATTACTTTTGATTTCTACTGGTCTCTGACTCCTCTTCTTTTTGTGTTAGCAGAGAAAGACAGAAAGAGAGAGAGAAAGAATCCCAGGTTGACTGAGTCTGGGGACCCCTTAGATCCCAGACCCAACTGATATAATAGATAAATAGAGCCCAGGATTTTGGCACAATTTGTTTATGTAAGAAGATTCTGTCCATATAATTTCTGCTTGGAAAGTTACTGAGTGCCTTGAACCTGACTGTGTGTGTGTGTAAGCAGGCAGAGCCACTTGAAAGGAATATTGTAAAGCTACTTTAAGAATAAGAACGGAATTGAATGATATTTATAACCTCTTGCAAAATAAGAGCCTAGGAATGTGAGGAAAAGTTACTCAAGAAAGTTAAGAGATAGGTCAGGCCTTAATCTGCCACCTGAGTCACTCTAAGGCTGAGAATTGACAGGAAACTTTCCAGGTTGTTCTCAGGGCCTCAAAGTACAGCTTCCTACAGTCAGTCTGAGTATATCTGCTTCTTGTGACTGCTGTTGGTAAGTTCAAAGTGCACAGAAGTTAGAGTACTAAAAAAGGAAAAGATCTTATGTAAAAGTGATCACTGGATCAATTTGTGGCTGTCTGTACCCTGAGAGCTGGGAATAAACTGTTCAGATAAGAGAGCAAACTGAGTGGGTATGGCTAGCAAAGTCTTTGTAAGAGGAAAAAAAAATGTTTTAGATTACTAAATTTGGTTTAGGAGGCATAGTGCCCAGCTGTTATGCAAGATCAGCACATTCCCTTGGAGCAGAAAGGAGAGCACACTGGCACTAGAGTTGCCGTCCTTCCAAGATGCAGATTTGTGCTCTTGTCTTGGCTTGTCTCACTGCCTGCACAGCTTGGGGTAAGTGCTTCTGAAACATTATTAAAGGGGGCAAGGGAAGGTGCATTTAGAAGTTCTAGTCCTAAGGGGAGTGGTTAAGATTTTTATGACTTCCAGGTATGACCAGATTATAAGGGCAGCTTAGTAGAGCACTTAAAGCATGGAATCAGGAGCCAGAATATGTGTCTCATTCCAGCTCAGCAGTTTCTCGGCTGAGTTCCCTTAGACAGTACCTTCTATGCTGTGTTTAGGTCACCCTATCCCGAGAACAGAGTTGGCAGTGGTGACTACCTCAGTGGCCTGCAGGAAGCATGAAATCTGTTATTGTTTTAAAAAGCAGTGTAGAGGATGCCTACTCAGAAGAGACAGGGGGAAGGGATAAAGGGTTGATTTAAAATGGAGTATATTAACAGCAAAGTTAGCATGTGATAAATCAAACCATGATTCATTGGTCACTGAGGGACAATTTGTTACAGGTCTCAAAGGATAGGCCACACCACTGGAGCATGGGCCACAAATAGAAGCATACAATATTTTAGAAGTCTTGGGTGGGTGAGGGGAAGCACTGGGGCAAGGAGATTTGTTGTGGATTCCAGTAGAAGGAAGAGATGCAGAGATATTTGGAATTATATTATTAGAAATTGGGGCATAAAGGCTGTGCTAGTTGCCTGAATCTTATATCTAGATGACGGAGTCAGGTGTTATTGACCCAGAACCTGGTAACCAGATATAAGTGGTGAATGGAGTTTGGCCTTCAGATTGGTTGGACCCTAGGAGTGATAGTACCTGCAGGATCAGCAAGCTTTTGGAATCAATACATCAGATACAGAAAATAAATCCATTACATTTCACTGTGATAGTGAGGTACTTTATAGACAGAAATTGAGACTCACAGGGCATTATAGTCTCTCAAAGTCAGGAGGAAAAGCATTCCATGTTCTATCTCTGACTTCAGAAATCAGGCCAGTGCTCAGAAAGTGCCCTGATCATCTAGATTGTATCATCTCATTGACTGTGTGACACAATGAGAGGTGTGGATCTGATACAGACCCAGAGTTACACAGGAGCATTCCTTTTTGTTGGTTAACCTGGATGTGCAAACATATTTCCATCTTTAAGGACTCTATATGGGCCAATTTTAAATTCTGCTTTAATTTCTGCTAAGTGTTCAACATGTGCACACAGCACATGACATAAGTGTTAAGTTTTGTGACCATTATTAATCTCTCTTAAACTACTGAATCATATTTTGAAGTGGGACAAAGTGAAGGTTATCACTGGGCTGTGCCTAATTTAGATTGAAGGTCAATTTTTGAGTTAACACATGGGCCACACCTAGGAATTTCTGCTTAGTCTTTAACCTCCCTGACCTGTTTGAGGCCCTCAGCATTCTTCCCAATCCCACCTCCTTCCTGGGCTACTGAGATGTTGTGCTCTTCTCCTGCTGAACTCTGCTATGTGCTCTGTCTCAGCTACTTCTGCTTCTGAGCTTTATTTCTGGCTTATTCTCCTCTCACTCATGGGTCTGTAATGAAGTCACACACACCTGCGATGCATATTGTTATCTTTAGCTGCATGCTTCTATCTACACCTGACCAGTTCCTTACACTCCCATGGTTCCCTCATCCTGTGGATTTTCTTAGCAGGATTCCCACTGACCTCTCCCAATGAACCACCCTAACATGGAATCTGCTTCTTATACTTGCTCTTCAGTCCACTCCTTTTCTGTCCACCACCCCCCACACCTGTCAATTTTCAAGACATCCTTTATAATCCATCCTTAACATCTCCATACATTTTATACATTTTCTTCTCATTAAAGAAAAGGACTAAAAAAAAAAAATAAAGAAAAGGACTTAGCCTCACATGCCTAGAATAATGCAAAACCCACTTGGATTGTGTGCGTCATCATTTTACCCTGATGTATCCTCATTTCCTGTCTATGTCCAGCATCTTCCCCACCTGTGGCAGATACCGTGTATGGCAAAGTCCTGGGGAAATATGTTAGCCTGGAAGGATTTGCACAGCCTGTCTCTGTCTTCCTGGGGGTACCTTTTGCTAAGCCCCCTCTGGGATCCCTGAGGTTTGTACCTCCACAACCTCCAGAGCCATGGAACTATGTGAAGAATACCACCTCTTATCCTCCCATGTAAGTTTCAAGAGGTAGTTTTGGTATCTTTCAGTGGGATGTTTTCCTCAGAATGAAGAAGGAAGAAAATGATACCATGTGCTGATTAGCTCTACTTTGTTCTGGAACCATCAATGACTTTTCAAACATTATAGGAATGCCACACTGTTCTACATCCTTTTATTCATCACATAGTTATTGAACACCTGTGTACTGAGCATATTTTCAGTTTTTAGAATCCATTAGAGAACAGAACATTTTAGAAAAGTGCAGAGAGATAAGATCCAATACAAAAGGTAAAACATGAATTTGTTAATAGTTTACAGGAGAATATGTGCTAAAATTAGGCAGAAGAAAAAGTACTTGAACAGTCTCAATTCCTCTACATGTAGTAGGCAGCAATTCTACAAGCTAAGTGCATTGAGAATTGGACGTATGGTGTACGATGTGCTTGGGACAATCACCAAAAGATTGCATTACTATTTATGCTATGCAATCCTTGGCAGGCTCTCTAACTATGTTGTTCCTCATCTTTTTTACCTGTAAAATAAATAAGAAGAGAATCTCAAAGGCACTAGGGTGGATACTATGAGACATAAAGACTTAATACATGAGAAGAATTTAAACAAATTCCAAGAACAATGAGGAACTCCTAATATGTTGTAGGTTATAATTTATGTTGGATCTTAGGTACCTCTTATCAAGATAGCCTACAGTGCTTGTCTTGGGCAGAGTGATGATAGAATGCTAGCATGGTAAAGACGCAGGACCCTTACAGAACTAGTAGATGAGGATAAAGGAAGAACGGAATTTACTCATAATCAACCAGTACATCTACGGTACAGCCAGTCCTGAAATGCAGTTTTCCTGAAATTTTTCCCCAAACTGCATCCCTGAAGTTTTGAGTATAGTTTCTTATATCAGACAGGTTCTGGTTGAAGGAAGTCTACGAAGGACTGGAACATGATTACCTGGTGGACGGGCCTGGTTACTCCGCAACCCAGTGGAGAATGTTTCAACAGGAAATGTCATTGTCCAGGGAAGAACAGCACATGAGCCACCTTGGTCTCTGGATCTGTGCATCCTAAAGTCTAGAGAACGCAGAGAGTGCCAAATCCTTCCCATTCTGCATGATCTTGAGACTCTAGAGTCCAGGGATCTTACCAGACCCCCAGAATGCCATCTTCCCATTGCAGCAAATCCAGTCTGATGGTATTATAACCTCATTCAGGCTCAAATATGCAAGTACCAGGTTGAGCCACAAAGACCACTTGCAGTTTTCACCTAGTTAAACTGTAGATATTTTTCCTTCTCTTCCAGGTGTTCTCAAGATCCACAACGCAGCCACGGTGGGAATATAATTTCTCTGCAGCATTCTGAAGATTGTCTGTATTTAAATATTTACACTCCTGTGGATGTGAGGAAGAAAAGCAGTCTGCCTGTAAGCATGGCACCACTGGTCAACACTTGTGAATTTCATGATCCTGGAATACAGCATACATGGGAATTAAGTGAGCTTGACAAAGCTACATTTTTTTAATTGTAGTGTACTTACCTCTACAATTGCATATGGCAAGGTTTTGGCCCAGTGGGTCAGCATTTCCCAGATCAGAGGTCAGGTGCACTGCAGGTATGGGTCAGATGGTGAGAAAGGCCAAGCAGGAAAACTTGAAGTCCAGAGCCCATGAGATTGAAAAATTAAGCACTAAGTCAGTCTCCCATGAAAACCTTGGCAAGCATCCCAGGATTGTGACAGGGGGGATGTGGGCTGGGAATTTGGTCATTCACATGTTTTAAAGCTCAAGAGTTGAGAATAAGTGTTCCTTCATGTGTTCACTTCTACTTCTATTACACACTTAGCATCCCTAAAAGGTCAGTTATCCTAAGATCTTCGAGAAATGAAGAATAAACTATGAACACACAGCTCTACCTTGAAGGATTTTGCCATCTGGGCTGCACAGGTGCATCCTAAATTCATCAGCATATCATTTCTCAATAACCTTCATTGAGAGATGATTGGGGTTTAGTGCATGCTCTCAATACTAGAAAGAAAGAGAGCTACAGGAGCATTAAGGCTTTGGAAATCTGGAAGCAAGAGACCTCTAGCTATGGCACATGTTCTAGAACTACATGATCTAGATTTCAGTCTTCAACCTAGTTCTCACTGGTCTAGAGACTGAAAATTTCTTAACTTCTTTCAATATCTATTTATTCTAATGTGAATTATAGCATAGCAGCATTCAGTAATGACTATAAATTTTCTCTCAGTGTTGTGTGTTTATATAGAGCAAACACTCAACAATCATTAGGTGGAGCAAGATAAGTATGTTCTTATTGCCCTAACAGTCAGATTACTGTACTGTATTTGTGGGTTGTAGTCAGTGGGCAGACAAGGAAGCATACAAGGTCTGAGGCCAGATTGCTTGTTCAAGTTTTGCTGCTGTCTCTTGCCATTTGATTCTATGACTTATTCCCAGTACATGATAGGCAATAAAATGTTCCAGTTGTCCTGTCATATGGGACATTACTAGTACCATTATTCTGGTAAGCAATTTTCAGTGCTGGGAGAAGTTGTGGTTATATGCTTTATGATATATGCTATTTTTACTAATATTATTACAGTAGTATTTTATGTATTCTCATTCCTTCTCATTTAACAGTATGTGGTCTCCTAAGTATAAGAACACATCTTATGAATTATTCTGCTTATTGGACTGTCATTTTCAATTCTCGTTGGTCTCAGATACATAGTGGCTTTTTGCCTATTGTTAGTCAGAATCCAGACAGTCTGACAGGGAGATGAGTATGTGTCTGGGTTGAGGACAATATGTATGATTCAGGCTCCAGAGGAGGCAAAGTGGAGGCAAGATTGGAAGACACCACACTGAGTGTTTCTAGTTTTTGAAATTTCACAGTAACAACAATTCCCTACTGAAAAGTTAACTGAGATTAATATGAAATACAAAATATTCCTTTTTCACTTCTCTATAGTCAGATGCTTGCATAGTCCAGGCATGAGTACAAGGAAGTATTGGGGAAATTATGATATCCCTGACCTTTCTTATATCTTTTATGACTTTCACATTTTGAAGAGCCTTAGAAGAACATGGCAAAAGGGTCAGGGCAGAAAGATAGGTAAACCAGTGGGTATTCAGTCGGGTGGTTGCCTGGGCTAGCCTGGAGACTTGGGGAGGAGTGAGACACACTTCAATATTGCTGTATTGATGCACTGTGGCTAATGGTTCCTTGAGGCACTGCCATAATGTTGTAAAAGATCTACTCATAAAGCACTGGAGGTCTTTTCTAATATCATTTTCTATAATCAGTGTGTTGGTGTCCTCTTTGTCCAGGTGATGATGTGGATCCATGGAGGTGGTAATACGGTGGGTGCAGCATCAATCTATGATGGAACAGTTCTCTCTGCCCATGAAAATGTGGTAGTAGTGACTATTCAGTTTCGCCTAGGTATCTGGGGATTCTTCAGGTAAGGTATAGGGCTCTTGTCTGTGTGTATTCCCTTCTTTTCTGTGATGGCAAAGCATTGGAGACCAAATAGACATTTAAGTACACAAAATTGTTTAGTTCATTCCAATATCATGTTGCCTCGATTGTTCTTTGGTGGAAGGCCCTTTTCTCTGGCACAGTGTGGTGGAAATATGAAAGTGAATGTTCAGCATACAGAATTGGTCACAGTGTAGGACAGAAAGCATAGGGCACAGTCTGAGAAATCCTTTTTCTTGTATAGCAGCTTGCTCTTTGGAATACAAATCAGTATCTCATGAGTGCTACATTGCACTCTTCCAAGAGCATCAGTCTTAGCACCTAACCCACCTTGCATTGGGCCTCACATTTTCTAGTTTCTATCACCTTTTAATTCTACTATATTAGGAATCAAGCCTTATGCACATGAACCCTTTGGAAACAATTCATATGTAAACCAAACCATGGGTTTGTCACATGAAAGATATGAGGTCTTGACTATCGTCATGCAATCTCAAAAAGCATTCTTTATCTTGATGTTTATTAATACATCAGTCCCTTCATTATTCAATTCCAGTGAACTTTTCTTTTTTTCATTTTCTTTTTTTTTTTTTTTTTGCACTAGGAATAGAACTCAGGACCTTGAGCTTGCCAGAGAGGCACTTATGCCACTGAGCTGTATGCCTGGCTGAACTTTTCACACATCAGCCATACTTGCCTATCTGTTTTTGAGCTTTACATGGTCTGAATCTCTGTTCCCTGGTTGTCTGCTCTACCTATCAAGCACTAATCACTCTCAAAAAAAAAATCCCTTATGTTACTGCTTCTAAAATATTGAATTCCTTTTCACCTGTGTTGTATCCCATTGTCCAGGAACATTGAGAAATGTTCTTCTTTTTCTCCGAGTCTATCTTTGATGGGAATGAGCATTCAGCAGAGCAAGAAAAGGCTATGTTTCTTCTTAGAAAGTTAGAATGGGCATCCTCATGGGGGATAGTGCAGATAATGTTTGCTGAGCCACACTTTCAACTCAACCCACTGCCAGGCTGTTCTCAGAGACCAAGAGTGATCTCCACCAGCACTCAGAACTGCCTCATTAGGCTGCTCAGATTTAGCCACACCAAATCCTCCCTGAGTTCTGAAGTGTTTAGCTCTGCTAGCTCTGACCAACTCCCAATTCCTGATTGCTTCTTTTTAGTCCCTTTTACCCCTTTCTGCCCCCAGGCTCAGTTCTTCATCTTTTCTTCTTTACTAAATATTTTTTTTCTATATTTAGGACAGGGTTCACAGGGTCTCACTACATAGATTGGATTCATGATTCTCCTGTTTTCAGCATCCCAAGCCCTGGCATTATGGGTGCACACCATCACAACCAGTGTCAATTCTCTTCTTTTGCCCCAAGGGCAGTGCCAGTAAGGCATGCCAGGGATCAAACCCCAGTCACTAAGCTCTGCCTAGCAGGTGCTTTAGTCTGCTGAGCTATCAGGCTGGCCTCTACTAAATACTTGAGTGACTAGCTAGTTCAGTTTTAGGCTTCACCTGTCTTAAAGCTAGCTGTCATTTTTATCTACCTTCTCTCATCTCCCTTGGATGTCTGCTGGATGCTTCCAACTTTAGATAGACAGAATGATGTTCAGTACTTCAGATGGCCCATGATGACCACTGCCTTTCACTCAACAATGATTCCTTCTAGTCCCATAAATCCCCTTATGCAGCTATCCGCAGCTTCATGTTCCCTGTGGCTCAGGATATTAGGTTGGTGGGCAGCCTGAACTTTTTTGTTTTTATACCCCTCATTCACTTAGCCAGAAAATATTTTTGGACCCAAATTTAAAATATGTTTGTCTGACTAATCCTTGCTTGCATTGTAGTCCAAGGCCTGTGACTTTGTCCTGGATTTTAACAAATTAGTTTCATAAACTTGTTAATTTTGCATGATGACTATTTCATGTAA